TCTCTTTGTGACAAGCATGTGCTGCAGAAGAGCAGAACATTCTTAGGAGAGTGCTCTATATATGGAGACTGTGACATGGGCCATACAGCTTTCCCAATTCTGGCAATAGTTGGAGGCCTGTCCAATTAAAATCATGTAATGAGCTATCTATCTGTACAAGTTCCTGAACAGAAAGCTAAAGTGTTCATTTGAACCTTGCTGGTACGTCCCCATCACCTCTCCCAGCACAAGCACACAAATACTCTGTACTCCCTCTGCGCTGGCCACAGAGCGGGCATTTGCTAGCCATGTGTGATGGATCACGTCAGCAGGACAGGGTCATTGACCCTGCTGGTCTCTCTGTTAACTCATAATGCAACCAGAGCAATCTCACACCCTCCCAGAGCTGCCTTTTTCAGTGCTAAAGGACTGCTTGTATGGGGAGGTTAGTGTGAGTCAAGTCAGGAGACAGGCGTGGCAGCGATGACCTGCTCCATCCACAAGAAATGTCTGTGCTGGAGGAATGTGCAGAACATCAGGAACGAAGGAACAGCAGGCTGACAAATTAAAATACTGTTTTCCTGACCCACTTGTGGAGCTCTGTGTATTGGGTAACAGCATGGAAATCAGACCACCATGTGCCTTGGGTGACCTGGCAGGAGCTCAGGTGCAATATGACACAACAGAGACACAGCACTAGCACAAGGCTGTACATGGAGAGAGCTTGGCACCTAGAGGGGTCTGTTAGCTGCAGAGCCTTGCACAGAGCTAAGGCTAATCACCCTGGCTCATAAAAAGAAGCTCTAGATCTTGGATACGAGGTTCTTTCACTTAGAGAGTCCATGCACAAGTGGGTTCATAGAGGAACAAGGCCTCCAGGATAAGGAAGTGTGAGGGTCTCGGTGCAGGAAAGGTAAAGCCCTCTGATTTCATACACTCACTCACTTCTCAAAAATGTAATTTCCTATGTTAGCTCCAGAAATACTTTTGTGTGATACAGCTGACTTGGCATTAAGTATGAGGCAAATTATTTCAGTCTTAATGTACAGTATGGAGAAGGCAGAACATGACACAACCAAGCACACTGATGTCCCCATGTAGATGTGCCCACATAGGTAAAAGTTAAATTTAATTCAAACATGTTTATCTTTCACTTGACATTTTATCTTTCCTCTTTTCTGCTTTTTTTCACTGTGTTTCTAACCAATCTCAGTTTCCTCAGTGGAGGGTACACAAATTTAATACCTTCTCTAGTCTAATCTTAATCTTCATCCTTTATTTCATATATGAGTCATAAAACTATGTGCTGATAATTTTAAGAACAAGAAACACTGCTGAGTGGTAGAGTCAGCAGGTTTTCTCCTAACAATTAATTTTCTAGCTTTTATGCTTGCATCCACATTAAAAAAGTGAACACATTATTCTGCCAAAGAATCACTGTCCCCACCAGCTGAATAAAATAAAAACCTAGTAATGAGCTAGGTAGAACTGTGAGACATGCACAGGCATACACATTTCTCTCAGAACCCTTACAGTACCTCTTACTTATATGCACACATTAATATTTTGAATACATGACATGATAATGAAAACAAGGCTCATGGTTTGCAGTAGGATTCTAAAGCTTCTCAAAGAAATTGAAGAAATTTGAGATAATGCTTAAGTATATAGTGTCTTTAGCCTATGGATTCTGTTCTTTTGTTCTTAAATAAGTTTAAAAATAACTCTCTATTGATAGACATGTAACAGACGCGCCGTACACAGAAGCAGTCTGACTCAGTGCTTCAAACATAACCATTCAAACCTTTGCAAATTATACTATTCTATCAGTGAAAAAGTAGATATTTTTTCCTCAGAACATGTATATTTTATGAATGCAGAAGATTGGCATGTCTATATGTAAGAAAATCATTCCTTATGAAAGCTTGGCTTTAAATACATCTTTCTTCTCTTTGACATCTGGGCATAAGGCTGAGGAAGAGTGAGGCTTTCTTTTCATTTTCTATAAAGTATGTTGCTTTCCTCTGGCAACATGCTGATTTCAGTCTTATGGTAAATTTCTTAAATGTCACTTGTATTGATGAATTAATAAATTATATATATGTATGTGTGACTTTTCAGCATTTAGTTCTGAGGTGTAATGTATGTGTTAGAATACATAAATACAAAGAGACTACATTAAGAGGAAATTTTGTTGCTACAATACGGTATTTTAAAAGGACTTACACAGGCACCTAGGGATAATTGAAAGGGGAGAATTTTTGTACCATAGAAAAGAATGTAAGGATAGAACTCTCCCAGTGTTTCCAGCAGCAGAGGTGTGCTCTTTCTCAGCTTTAAATCCAATATCAACAAACTTGGTTAAGCCATTAAAATCCACAGAGGTTTGGTATTCTTCATGTTGCTAGGAATCCCAGAACGTACACATTCTTAAAACAACATGTTTATTCCATTGTTTTCCTGTGAAAAACATGTTAAGAAGCCTAAAATAGAGAAAAAAGGCCTAAACTGTGGCTTCCAGCCACGGAGACAAAGAGCCTTGCAAGAGGCAGAATGCAATTAGGAATTTGCAATACAATGATGCTTAATGCCTTCCCAGTCTGCAGGCTAATCAGGATGGTGCAGATCATTTATTCTGCAGCCTGATGTAGCTTATAATTGCTACCTTTGGGCAACCTTGTCCAGTCTGCAATGTCTCCTTTTCTTACTCCTCTTTCAGGACATGGCTGTTGAATCAGGGAATAGTCCTGAGTTCCGAAACTGTGACTGTGACCTTGACTCTCTGTTTGAGGGTAAATTCTCCTTTTAGTCAAGACTACAGTGATATATTGCATTCTGGGTTTTAATATTTATAAAACCCTTAGACAAAAGGTGCTGAGGTGCTGCATATTGCAAATTACAGTTATAAGACTTTTCCCTGAAGCCTTTTTTTCAGTTAATGTGATCAAGAGGATTTTAGTTGAATTAGCATTTGATCTGTACATTATTATTAATATATATAAAGAAAAATATCCTAGCTTGTTTTGCCTATTTTCATGAGGATTTAAACTGTTCTAAGCTGTATTAAAGAAGGCAAAATCAGAATAATTAATTTTCCTCATAGTTGTGCTGAGGTCCTGAAGCATGCTAGCTTAATACACTTTAAAATTCCTTGCTTATACATTAAATCAGAATATAGAGAATTTGTAGCAAAGAAAAAAAAAAGAGATTGGATAGAAAATGCTTTAGATATGACTCATGATCATGAGTGTTCAGTTCAGAAATCTGAACTGGGGTTTGCCTGAATGTCAGAGGATGTTGCTTGCACGTAGGATTCAACTTTCGATGTTTTCCTCTTGCTGTTTTCACTGTATTCCTTTGGGTTACCTTTGCCCTACAAAAGGCTCTTGGTTACTACACGCTGTAGTATACGTGAACAGCAAATTAAAGGCAGAGGAACACAACTACAGCACAACAGTCTATTTTAGTACCCAGTGAAACTGGGCTAAAGGTTACAGCTGGTTAGCAAATATTTTGGCAGCACATATAAAAGAGCAAAAGGAAATCCAGAGTGCTGAGCTTTGCATTATCAAAGGCTTTTCAATCTGTATTAATTTTTAAACACCATAAATTGCTTGGCTTGAACATACAGGCATAAAACAACATTCATCATGTTTTTTAAAACGAAGGCTTGAAACAAGGAGATGCTGACACAGATCTTTTGAATGCAACTCCACTGTTACATACCTTAAACGAAGAAAATTTACTTTTGAGCTATTTCATATCAAGGCAGCTGAATACCTTGTCTGGAAATATAAAATAGGATGAAACTATTTATTCCTGTCACTCCTCCTACATGTGGTTCATCAGAAACAGGATAATATTCTTTTAGGGCTTGACTTTACTGACCAGTTGTCTTAAATTGCTCTATTTGAATAATACTGACAGAGTTAAATTCAAAGGAATATAACTAAAAAAAAAAAGCAGAAAGATGGGCAGACATGGAGTGCAGAAAATGGCAGTTGGAGCAGAGGGACCACATGAGTTCCCCTCTCCAGAGGAGCATCACCAGCATCCGAATTGAAATCTGTCCCCTAATCTGACAGCCTAAGTACACCTTGTGTACGAAGTCTGAAGTGCAAAGCTTTGCCAGTATGCATGAGTATTCAAATGGGCCTTGAGCTGGCCTGGCATTCTGGGCTGACACTCCTGCCAAGGCAGGACTTCAGTCCTGAGTGTGTCCTACAGAATGGGAAGGCCATCCTGCCCACCTTGCAAAGCCAGGCTTGAGGCACTTCTAAGCCTGGCCACCCATCTTATGCTCAGTTCATGGGGTGGAGTGTTTCACAGCCAGTGAAATACATAAGACTTTACAATAGCTCATGGAACATGTATTCATTATTAGTTTGATATTTGCTGGACACTGTGTTTTAGTCAAGTCAAGTTTTCCTTAAAGAGTACTATGTAGAGATGACTCACAGAAGGCCGGGCAGATTGTAGAACTTTGTTTATGTCTGAAGAACAGGGATTTTCAGGGTAAATTTAGTGTTGTTTCCTGTTTCTCAGAATTCCAGTGGACTTTGAGCAGTGCAGTATGTGACTTGGCATGCTGTGCTTCCAGAAGCTCTAATGCATATTTGCTCTGGTTCTTCCAGCAATCCTGTGTATCTCACTCACCTGATGCTGGGAAAAGAGGCAGGAGAGGTTACAGCTGAAAAGCGCATGATGTTGTTTTGAACACATTTTTGGAAGATGGAGCAATATTCTGAACTTCCCCACCAGTTTAGTCTCTCTCCAACTGAATTAATGCCAGGGACTGACAGCAGAAGTGCTTGTTGCAAAAGAACCAGCATTTGAGGTTTTTCTCAAAACAAAATAAAAGCATTTTACACAAGAAGTCATAAGCTATTTACAACGTAAGTCCTTTCACCTTCTGAAAATATTTTTTCATACTTACATCATATACTCTTCAGCCACTCCATGAAATATAAGGCAACTGCAGAAGGGATTGCAGTGAGACTCTGAATAAATAGGATCTGTAAGTCAAACGACACAAAAGATGTATGCTACAGCATGAATTCAGCAGGTGTTTTCTTCTACATGTATCTTTGAAAGTTACTTCCTTAAAGAGGCTCAGCACAGAGTAAGTACCTAGTTATTATCATCACCATGTTTTTACTTTGTTTCCTGACTTTAGCAAGCATGAGCAGTGGAAACTACTTCTTAACAGCACCCAGGATGGTTTCAAAGCAAGGCATGGCAACAAACGGTTTTCCCTGAAGATCTATTTGCTTGCGGCAGCAGGTCATACAATTGTTTTTTTTATCCTTTATATCTTTTTAAATTAATTTATCAGGAAATGTAAGGATTTTGACAGGTTAAACTCTGTTCCAGGACTTTCTTCTGAATGAGGTGCACAGACAATAACTAAAGAAATCCAAACATTGGTATAAAAACATATTTTCCATCAGAAGTGGTAGAAAATGCCAGTCTTCCCCTTGTATCTGTAGCAAAAATGAATATCCTTATCAGAAAAAATGGTGCATAAATAGTTGAACAGAAATTTATCTAAACCATCAGCTACTACAGGGTGGACCTGACAAGGGATTTCAACTTTTGAGGATTACAGCAGTCTTGCTTTTCATCTCACAGGAGTAAAACCAGTACCAAGTAGGTACAAAGGACCAAATATCAAAAGATGTAGTTTTGAGGGCTCAAAACCTTTGTGAGGACAGTGTAAGTGTTAAGCTTCTGATACAGAGGCTAACTTGGAGTTATAGTGGCACAGAGGGATGGCCACACAGAAGTGCTAAGTTCTCATAAATCCTTCATGAGATGAATCAAATGGCACAAAGGATGCCTTACTGTGCTGAGCATTAGAGGTACAGAAAAAATGTACAACCCAAGCTCCTTCCTGTCCCTGTGGAACCCTCCAGCCCTGTCCCAGCAGAGAAGTCAGTGGTGCAGCCCATATTTCTCAGAATGTAGAGCCTGCAGTGGTACTGGGCTCACAGTGGAGGGAAGAACACTCTGGTGGGTTCCTATGAAAACAGCTAAGAAATCCTAGCTCATACAAAGTTTTTCTCGTGAAAGTTGACCATGCTTATTCTGTTGTATCAGAACTCAGCCAGAACATTTTGCTCTTTTAAAGAAAATAAATTCTGCTATAGTTGATGTGATTGCTATAATAAGAATTGTGTATCAGCTTTACTAGAACTCTACATATGCTTAACAATTAAGTGGCCAAAAGAAACAAAAGATACCATTCTGGTTGCCATTGTCTATAAATCAGAAAATTGAGATTACAGGAAAATGCAGGCAAGCTGGCAAAGAAGTGGCAGGGTCTCCCTCTTTTGCTGCCTTCAAAGTGAGATCAGGTGTTTCCTGGAAGATATTATTCACCCAGAGAGAAGTCTTTGGGCTCAGCAGAGGCCAATATCCTGTGGCTGATGTACAGAAGCTTGAATGAGTTTATTTACTAGTCCTTAAACTCAATGTGAAACTGAAAAAAGGCAAGGGAAAGCAAAGACAGCAATGAAGAGAGGAAAGAGATAGAACATTTCCAGTCTTATAAATCAGAAATGAATCCTTTGTTGGCAACAGCTTTACATCAGTGTAACAGCAGAACAAGACCTACAGACAGCTGTGTTAAAACAGACTTGAAAGGGAAAGTATAGCCTTTCTCAAATCTGAGGCTCTTCAGAGGCTTTCTGGAAGAAAAAAAAAGTAAAAAAGTTATAATATGCAGCTGTAAAGGACTTTTCAGCTTTCATAGTATGTGAGGCAACTTAGTATATTTTTGGATGTGTATATGTAACTGTGTTGTATTTCTATGTTCTTCCCAGTATCACATGCTCTGTGAGTAATTTTTTTTTTTCCTGCTGCTGGTAGCTTATAAAACATTGATAGTAAAATATATGAATAGTGCTGTAAATACTGCAAAAAGCATTCTAGTGCATGTTGCAGAGAACCAAGAAACAGCCAACAATGTATGGGTAATGTAAAATGACTGGCTGCTCTTCAACAGTGCTCTAGGAAAATTGTGATTTTCAGTTACGATCTGTTCAGTCAAATTAAAGTCTGATGACTGCCTCAAGATGTTCATTTATCACCCAAAATAAATCAAACTGAGAGAACAGGCAACAATATGCCATTGTATTCAAAGGCAACGCATCAGTACCTATGGGTAGAATTTCTAGCAGCAGTCAGATAAAAGTGGCTGGAAATAAGAGTACAACAATAGATCACATCAGGACAGGATATTATAGAATCTCAGCTTGGTTCATAAATATAAAATAATGAGCTACTGCTTTCATGGTCTTACCTGCCAAATGTATTAAAAAACTTTAAGGAATGGTATTGTCACCTGTTACAGCTGAAGATTTGGTAAAAAAAATTTAAATCAATTGAACTGAAATGGGTACACTGGTGGTATGGTGGCTTGTTTTTTGGTTTTTTTTGGGGTTTTTTTTATATGTATGCAGAATTGAAAACAAAGAAAAAGAAAAGAAAGATAATAGAGCATGTAATGCTCATTTTCAGATTTTCTACCTGTAGCAGATGTGGTTCAGTCTTGTGTGCATGCATTGCTTTTGGGCTCTCCGCCCACGACAGTGTATTAAGCACTGGCCTTGCCCAAGGAACACTGAGCAGGGAAAAATATCATCATCACATCCTACATAGCACAGCTGAGCATGCTTCCACCAGATAGGAAGATAGCAGTTGGTGATGGCCTGCAGACTGTCATTACATCCACAGACACAGCAGATTTACTAACACACACCACACTGCTGTGCCATGGATCTCAAGGAGTCGGGCAGAAATGGCTATCAAGAAAAAATACCCATACATTTCTAGACTTGGAAAATGGAAAAAGAAGCAGGTGTGATACCTCTCCTGCACTGAGCAGTTTCTGAGATGGAACCCTGAAAGCAATCTTTGGTGTCCAGAAATTAGCACCAGGAGAGGCTCATGATGCACATCCAGAACTATTAGGGCTTGGCAAAACTGAGTTTGGTGGTGCATCTGCCATGTTTTTAGTGCATCAGAAAATCACAGAGATTCATTTGGTGTTGGCACAATTTTGAAGGACAGTGAAGGAGATCCAGAAGCTGAATGGACTCCAGAAACCATCTAGGGAGGTGGGTTTTGCTGCCCTTGAATCTGGAGATACCTGGAGCTTTTTGCCACCTCTGTCATCCTTTGGCAATGTCACAAGCTGTGGCTTGCTGTAATAGAGTGATCAGAGTGCAGATGCTGTAAGGCAGCAGCAGGCAGTGATCCTACAGGTCCTGTAGTTCTGTGCAGGAGCAAGAGACATCTTTCAAAGGAGACAGAAGAGCTTGCATGATTGCAGTTGTGGCCTTGAGGACTTCATCTTTGGCAAAGCAGAAACGTGTCTGTGGCAAACTAAGGGAACTGCAGACACAGACAAGGCACTGCAGCCCGGGGCCCCCTTACTGTGGTCCAGGGAATGGTACTGATGTGAGTTAGTTCTGCCTGCTTGTCTTGCAGCACTGCAGATCCATGAAAGAAACAGCTGAACAGGTAAATATCAGATTTCCATGTGGCTCAGATATGTGCATAATGTAAAAGGCCATTGCTAATGGTGCATTTCCAAACTTTATTACAGAATTCATAAGATTCAAATGCTTGTTTTCATATCTTCCATTCAGTAAAAAATAATAATTAAAAAAGTAAAAAAATAGTGAGTTATTTTAGGCAGGTATTAAGAATGTTCCTCTTACAAACCAAAAATTACAAAAATTACTTTAAATATTTGGCAAGATGCAAATTTACAGAAGGTGGAATTGGGAGTTCTAAGTCAGCCAAGAGATGCTCCCTTCCAAGCTGAACCTGCTGCCAGTGCAAAGAACAAGGTGAGCCAGATTTTGTTTACTACCTGGAATAGTACAGCAGGGAAACCACAGGCAGAGGTGTTCACTCACTGGTAACACAGCTGTTTCACAGGCCCTCTTGTGCTTCTCATGCGCTGCCAGGGCCACCCCAGTGATTTTTGTGAGCCCTGTTCCTTGGGCAGACAGCTGCACCAGTTCAATCTCCTGGTTTTGAGCTCCAGTGTTTGTAGTGAGAGGATGACAGGGCCAAACTACACTATTTATTCCTAATTTCTAAGCTTACTTAGCTATGACATAAATGAAAGTGTTGATGTGGATTAAGTGCTTGAGTTTAAATAATTCATTTGAGAAACCCTAAATAAATGAGTCAAAGAAAAGGAGAGAACAATCTAATTTTAAATTTTAAAGCCAATTTATGAAACACTAGCCATTTCAGAACTATCAAAGTTCCCATCAACTTCAAAATCATAAAATCACTCATGCCTTAATACAAATTTCTATCAGAACAATATTTTGCAAATATATTTTGTGAGAAAACTGTGAAATTCTGCAGTAAGATTTTCTGATCTTCCTTTTGCTCATTTTTTGTACTTCTGGCAAATTAAAGAAGTCATTATGGTGTAATAGAAAAGGATATAATTTTGGACTGGGTAACAATTAAAATGAATGAGGTTAATGAACTGTATCTGAAACACTGCTTTTATATTCAGAAATGTTGTTTGGTTCAGATGTTATTTTATGCCCTTATTGTATGTATCACACTTTCAGACAAACAAAAATATAGAAAACTCTATCAGTAATATATAGACAAAATCACAGTACTTATGTACAAAATGTGAATGTTTGAGATTAGGACTTGATCTCCTTGGCTTTTAATTCATTGCTAACTAACTGCCCCAGCTCTATGTCCCTGTTTTGATTAATGCAGAACCATCTTGTCCACATGTGTCTGAAATTCTGTATATTGTAAATTGTGCAGAAAAGAATATGCCTAAATATTTAAACCATTGAATTTGAGCTTCACTTATTTGTGACTATTTTGTTTAACAAGAGAAAAAAAATTGTAAGTTACAAGATTTTAGGGAATAAAATTTTAAAAAGGGTGGGGTTTTGAGAAAGAATCTCTCCAACAACATTCATAAAAATAACTTCAGATGTTTGGCATCCCTGGGTCACCCAGATGAAATTTCAGGGATAGAGCCCTGCTGTTATACCAAAAAGTACTTGAACACAGATCCTCAGAAGTATTTAGAAATAGTTGTCTTGTATTCTGTTCAGGCACTGGTCCTTCCAAAGGCTGACAGCACCAAGCTGCTGAATTACAGAGCAGATGTGTGAGAGCTGAAGCCAATGCTGAGCAAAATGACTTTGTTCTGGCAACTTGCCTGACTTTAACCTTGCTGTGCATGACCCAGCTCCAATACCAAAGCTCTTTCAGGCACACAGAACTACTTTTTCCCAAAGGTGACTTATAAGAAAACTGTAGGTATAATGGAAAACTGTTCTTTTCAACAATTATTTCTCAAAATGCAGGCCAGTACCTGTTTGGCAGTCCTGAAAGGGCCTAAAGTGGGTTGGTCAAACATCATGTGGCAGCAGTTCTCTCTCACAGTAGCAGCAGCTGCTGCATTAACAAGTGAGGACAGCCTAAGACAGTGGTTGCAGGATTGATAACCACCTTAAATTGCTGACAGGAGTTTATTTTCTCCAAGGCAAAGGAGTGAATATGAACACTTGTAGCCAATTATAAACTCTTCTCTCTTGACTGATATGGAGCTTCTAAGCTGCTGGAAAGTCTAATTGAAGGTAAATGAGATCAGCCAAATGGAGGTGACTGCATAAACAAAATGTCTAGATATTCCAAGATTCTTTTGTTGAGTTTAAACACTCTATTCTCTGCATTTGTTCTGACAGTGACATGTGAAATTAATCCAGCACTTCTCACAGCTTTTACTCTCACAAAAGACAGATGCATTTCCTATATCATATCCTCTAGAATATTTTCAAGTATTAACCATCAACTATTTGGTTACAGTTTTATTATGTTTCACCTTCTTGCTCTGTTTCATTATAAAGCTTGATGTTCTACAATGCCTTTTGCAGTTTTGGTCTATAAGCAGTTGTGGTGGTCTCCTTTAATTATGTGGTCTTCTATAATTTGCTTTTCTCAACAAAATTCTTCAAAAGGGGTAGATTGCATTGTCACAGATGCAAGATAGGAAACAGAAGGAGGAACGGAGGGAATGAATTAACAGTAATCATAACCTGTGATTCTTACTGTACCTTTTGACTACAGCTGATTCCAAAATTCTGCCAAAAATCAACTTGCATACAGAGTGTGAAATATTTTCCATCCAAAATGTATAAAGAATATGTTGGACTTGAATTCATTTGAGAAAATTGCAGTAAACTACAATGCAAGCAAAAGGGAGGAAAAAAAATGAACTTAAGGAGAGTGAGGAAAATGGGTTATGCACATTCTGTTTGATCAGACTCCTCATACCTGAGACTGACCCTTGTAAAACTATTTTACAATTGTTCTACTTCAGTAAGATGAAGATAAATTAAAAACTACCTTTCTTTTCACTGCTAAACCAGAAAGTAGATAAACGCAACCCTTGACAACAGATCTAGTGATAAGAAGCAGTTTTAATGAAAACTTCATTAAACAGTACCAAACTTTGACTGCACTATCAATTCTAATCTTTTGACCCTTGTCTATGTTTGTTTTTTTCAATATTGGCATTTGCTAGGAAAACCTACTATGAGCCTAGCCAATAAAATCATACTACAAGTATATTTGTGTTCCTGAAATTGCAAGGCTGCATGCAGGCCTCGGTTCTCATTTGTCAGAAAGAAATGGGCTAAACTTCTGAAAGTATGAGAATTATTTAAAGTATAAGAAAAGTGAAAGCCAAGGAACTAGGTGTTTTGTGTCTATCAGCTGTATTCAGAATTGAGTCAAGTCACACTGAGGAGAAGTACCTGCAACACCACCAGTGTGGTCAGACTCTCATTTACCTGGAGGACGTTGCCCCCATCAACAGCACATCAGTGGCAATTCCTCTGATTCTTCATCAATTTTGATATGATTCAGCAATTCAGATATGATCACAGGAAGTAGAGAAACACCTGTCAGTGCAGATCGTGTCATAAGAGGCAGAAGATTGGAGCAACACATCTCAACTGTGTTGGTCTCATTTACAGTTAATTAGTGTCTCTAGCACATTCATTACAGGACATCACTCTGTGGTGAGGATGATTTGTTTATGTCTTCTTGCTAGTGCCTTGGCAAAATACATCCTACAGAATAAGAAACTCTGGATTAAAGGACCCTTTGCCATCTTTCATTTCATTTCCTCTTCTGTGTTTCTTGGACTGTACTAATACTGCTTCAAACCTGTACTTCTGGTGGCTCAGTAGCAGTGAATATGACCTCAGATTCCCAAGCCTCGTGGCATGTAAACAGTATATCCTGACATGGACCAATCACTTGCATCCACCTTCTACTTTTGTGAGATGAAGAAGCTCCTCATTGTCTGTCCTCAGCTCCAGGAAATGCTGCCAACTATGCCTTCATTGCCAGTGAGATGAGTTCATAGCTGGAGCAAATTCTGCTGGGATGCTGGGAACTTCTCCCTTGTGAAGTTTGCAGCTTGGCTACCTTTCCTTTTTCATAAGGCAACTTGTAGTGCAGTGTCAGTATGCCGTGCTTAGAGGCTCAGCAATGGTGTCAGTTAGGATTGACACTGGGAAGAATGGTCTCCCAAAGAAGTTGCATTTCTGGCTCTTTTCTCTCCTGTTTTTTTTTTGTTAGGGTTTTTCTCTTTTTTTTTGGCTCCTAAATGGTCACAGAAGCAGAGATTGGCAGTGCCTGTTCTCCTCTCTTTTATTGCTGTTATGTTGCACATTGAAGGCAGAAGGCCCTCCCTGGCTGTGTGATTGGGACTGTGCTCTAGCCCTTGCTGTGCTAAAAGACTTGGCACTGTGTGTGTGGAGGCAGTTTTGCAGAAGCCTCAGAGAAAAGCTTCCCACCAGCAGCATCTGTGGAGATAGAAATAGCCACTGCATTAGATTCATTAAGATCTAAAGAAATGCAATAACTGGACCCTAATTAGCCATCTACACCCAAATGTTAAACATGGTAGGTTTTCAAATGGATCCCTAGCAGAGTCATTTGTTTGCCAGCTTACTGGACTCTGGATCTTACACTAGGCACTGGTGATGTCACATTAAATTAACTAACCCCTAAATTAATGCCAGGAAACCTTGACAGGAGACAGAACATGATTGTCCATACTATTAAGATATTAGAAATAACCTGGAATGGCTTAGGCTTAGGGCTTTCTCTGGCTTTTTCCCAAAAAACTGCCAAGTAGCTTGGGTTTTAACACAAGCAAGAGAGAATTCTTCACCATTTTGGTTGTAAACATCTTATTTTGCAGTATAAAACAGTGTGGCTGTTGGCCATTTTATATCAGTTATCTTCAGGGCCAAAGAACGGTACTAAGCATATTTAAACTACGATTTCAGACGAAATTGTGTGGGAGTCTACAAAAAATGGCAGAGTCCCTGCAAAAGGGTGAGTGCACTTCTGAGGTCAACAGGTTAAATTTTGAGAGAAGGAAACAACAAGTATAATGAACTGAGGATCCGACCTGACGTCCTTGTGTGATAAGTCCTGCACAGCCAGCCTCTGCAGGCTGGAGGGATTAGTCAGTGAATTAAGGCTTTCATGTTTCTTCAGGTGCTGCTGTCATAACTTCACCATGTAGAAGTAAGTCCACCACACCTTCAGGACATACACTTTGCTCTAACACAGCTGTACAAGTACACTTCGGCTTCTTAATTTTGGAACAGGTCTGTTCTGTGATGTCCTGGGCCAGCTCTGTTGCTAGGTTAATGGGAAATTTTCCAGCTGCAAAATTATGAGTATGTTCTTCTTATTCACAAGTTCCCTGATTCCTTTTGCACCTCATGCTGCTCCATTCTGAGCATCTGGCCTGGTGACAGAACAACTAGCCAAGAAATGAGGATGCCAGCATGTCTCGGTGCTATGTGAGGAAGAGTGTCTATGCACAGTGAGGCATGATGGGCTACTACGACCTTCTAGGATGCCTTTGCAGAGCTATTAGGCTGTGTTCAAACTGGTGAGCCTGGGTCCATTCTACCTGCAAGGACAGAGAGAGAGTAGGTACAGAAGTGAAAGAGAAAAGAGTTTGTGTGTGTATGTCAAAATGCACAGTATTCTTTACAGCAATTTGAAAAAGTGGATGCTTTTCAAAAAAATGTTTGTTTCAACCAAAATAGACAAAAATATTAAAATATGCAATTTGGCTCTGCATCTCTGTAGAGGATGTGAAATTGAATAACAAGCCAACTTTTCTCATCTCTATAGATCAATACATTTCCAGGGACATATTAAAAAGGTATATAAACATGGCTATGTTTCAATTTTGCTTTTTTCAGCTGAATTCAAATCAATTATGTATTCTATTTTGTATCAATGCAGTTTATAATCCCTGAATTTGGTGATACTGGAAGCTTAAGTCCTCTTCTTCTGAATACTTGAGAAACAAAAGTAACAGAAAGTCCAAGTATTCATATGCCTTCTGAGAAAGATTTAAGAGATGCAGCTTGCTGAAAGAAGTTTGTGCAGCTTGTTGCATATGGATCCAAAGAAAAATGGGTTTCAATTATGTGCTAAGATAAACCTAAAATGACAAATGTTAAAATGTCTTTGTTTTCATGTGAGTGTAGTGCTGCATAGGACATGAATTGGACTTAATAAAGAGAAATTTGTAACTTTCAGCCTTTGAAAACTGGCACTTAACAGTAAATGCACAAAGATGTGCTAACGATTTAGAAATGCAGTGGTCTTCAGTGTTTTTGCCAGTCAGTTTGTAGGTAAAAGTATGTATTTTCCCTGCTTTTGCTGTTTTTTGATGTTTCCAGCAAAGTTCCAGCATTATTCAGAAGTATGCTCCATGCACTCTAGAAATCAGTAGTTACCCTTTGCTTTCAGTGTTATCTCATCCAGTAATTTAAACGGTCAAGAAAAATAATTTTTTTTCTTTTCATTAAATGTGTTGTTTTGTTTTGTTTTTTCCCTAGTTTATAATCACATTTGTAGTAAAGATTAAAGATAAAAAACAATGGAAGAAAGTGCCGGGGCTCCCAGTAAACAATCACTTCATTACTGGGAGTGGTCATTTCCACAGAGCTGATGATTTTCAGTGGTGAAAAAAATCGTTTCTTGTCCCTTCTGTGCTCAGAAGCCAGCAGCTCTAAGGCCCTATGTATCTTTTGAAGGCTACATACAATATGAATTTCCATTCCCCTGCCAACTCTCACTCTGCCATTTAATTCTTCATCAATACCTTAGCTCCTCTTGGTTTTGATAGATGAGCCCTGTATTCCTGCTGAGCTGTTTGACTTGGAGGAATATCTGAAGAGTGAAATGAATAAAAAAAGTAAGTGATGGCACTGCTTGGAAGCAGCTAACAAACTAAACAGGTTTTGATAAGTAATTTTTGCATGGCAAAGTTTTTTTACTTCACGTAGTAAAGTTTCACATAGTAAAATTTCTTTAAGGCAAACCTTTTATAAACTCCCTCCAAAATTTGACAGTATAGGTATGCAAAACAATTTTTTGAGTTAAATAGTGAATAATTAGAGTTACTAACAGTTCTATGAAGGAAACATTTCTGAAAGTTCTCTAAAAATGTTAATACATCCATTACAAAATACTACTCAGGGAAGTTTGGTCTTCTCATGGGAAGACATATGGTCAAACTAATACACGCTTCCCTTAAATAAAGAGTGATTTATACTTTCTGGAAAAAAATTGAAACTAAATGTTAGTTGTGGATGAGTAATAAGACTAATTTTGAAATTAGCTCAGTTGGTTAAAGCATGGTGCTAATAATGCCAAGGTTGTGAGCTCAATCACTTCATGTGTCATTCGCTTAAGAGCTGAACTCAATGATCCTTCCGGGTGCCTTTAAACTCAGATTATTCTGGGATTCTGTGATTTATGAAAAGGTGCAAAATCTGCATTTCCAGAGGCTTGTGGGGAGAGACTACTCAACCCTCATGTGCCAAAACTGTACCTTTCTGCATATGCATTTGGAAAGATGCTTTCACTCAAATTGTTCCTATCTCTCTAAACATTATCAGAGTAGCCATATAATCATACAAAGGACACAGCCCTGAAGCAACGCTGTAGAACTTCTAGTGCCACACTACTCTTACAGAAGCTTAAGTGGCAAGGAAAAGTAAAAAAATTTGTCATAAAAGTGTGTGGAAGAAAATATCCAAAACAAGTCCCCAGAAAGATTGGCACCTGGCTCACAGTTGTTCCAAGAATGGAAAGAGTAGCTAAGTCTATTAAGGTAAGGTAAACTTTGTTTAGTGAATAATTAACAGGTCAGCGTCAAAGAGTAACTCAATATAGACTGTTTGTTTTTCTTTTTGTGACAGTGACATTTTGCTTTTAATGTCCAATAAAGGGTTATATCAGGTAATCCTGGCATGGTAAGGTGGGAGATTTATCCATTTAATCAGTCATATTGATATAATTTTTAATTTCAAGTTACTTTCTGATAAGTATCCATGTTTCATGGGATCACAAATAATTCAGTACTGTGTCTATTTAATAGTTATGCATCAGTACTGTGTCTATTTAGTAGTTAAGCATACACAAATGCTATATTAACATTGTTGTTAAGGTCACAGTCATTCAAAGGGCTGGAAATGTACATTTTGTAAAGGTGTTTTTAAAGAATTGGTGATTGTGTACTATTTATTTCATAGGACCCTTGCCTCTTTTTGCATAGAGCATGGAGATGAACTGAGTTTGTTATATTCAAGAGGCTACAGCATGTATTTAATACGACTACTTCCATATTCACGACAGAATTTGAGTAGTGCTGCAGCCAAGGCTTCCAGGGAGAAAAGAACGGGTCAGTGGTTAAGGCAATTGAATGCTGTCTTGGAAGCTAAATTGTAACCTTGCCCATGAGTTTGTAATTGATGCTTTGTGAGTTACTCAATCATAGGTGGCCACTAAGCAAGTTTTTCAATGTCTGATTGAGAAACTGATTTATCAATGCACTGAGTACTTAAACCTGGATCTGAAGTAAAGGACAGGTGTAAAGGGGTAAATGAAGTATGGCATGAAGTAGTTATAAAAAAAATAAGTCCTAAACTGTTTTCACATGAGACATGCAAGATTTGTGGATAATTTTATCTTAGCTCCTTTGGATCTCAGAATTCCCTCTTGTTAACTGAAGATAATAGCATGCCTTGGTTTTGTAGCAGTACTTTAAAAAATTGTGCCAGTATTTTAGAAACAGTCTGCCAGAATGACCATGCAAGAAAAAACACTGGAGAAACCTGCAGTTCTATATTCAGAGGATTCTGTATTCTTACTAGAAGAAAATACAATAGATAGGACATAATAACAGATTGAGAGAAATAGTGGACAATTTCTCATTAAATAAGCCCTACCTATTCCAGTGCATTAAACAGGGCTCCAAAACAAAAGTGGTAAATGACCATGTATGCAAAATGATAAAGCCAAATTATACACATGCAGCAGTGAAGCAATTGAAAATTTTATAGGCCTGGTGTTCCCCAGCTCCTGAGTACTTTGGCACGGCTCTGAAATGGATAGATGTTTGTGAGGTTTGCAAGAGAGATACTTATGTCTGTTTTCTTGTCGAATACAAAGCCTATAACATGGGCATGTTAGAGCCTAAACAGCTTTTCTGATAAGGTACTTGACAAACCAATGAGTATATTAAACCAGGATTTTAAAGCTGAAATACAAAAGCAGATACAATAAATGGTAAGGTTACTAGTTCTGTCTAGGACACAGTGCTATCACTACAAATGCCCACCCTCACAGCCCAAGAAGATGATTTCCTATGGCTCTTTGGGAATAAGCTTCCTCTCTTTCCGGAATGGATCTGACAACTCAACAGAGGGCTCAGTGTGAGGACATTTATGGTGACAAAAACAAATGGGGTGTTGCAGAAGTTTATTGCCCTCGAACAGAACAAGACTGAAGATGTTAATTGATTACTAAGACAGGAAAAAAGGTGACCGATACAACGAGTTAACAGATTTAGCAAGCTAATACATTTAGGTATCCATAAAAAAGAAGCTGCAACAGTGAGTACTACTACTCTTACAGTGCTTTTTTACACAGCAGGAAAAATGTATGGGGTAACTGGTGATAGTGCTTGGTGTGAACTCATCTGCAAAGTATTTCCTGAGTCAGACATGAAGATTTCTCAGTGATGAGCCTTCAATCTTTGCTCAGGAGAGACCACCACGTTGTTAAGACTCTGACAGCACATCAGTAAAAAGGCCTATGAAAATACACTCTGCTTACCTGTTACAAATGCTGCGTGGGTATTGTTTTAGAGCTGGCTTCTCAGCAGTGTGGTTTACAGCCTTATAAATACACTAGGAGCTATTATGAGCTATGTCCTTATCATTTGAGACAGAATGCACTATTCAAGTAGATGTGACAGTAACATGGCATCACACACACTACACCTCTGTGTTCTTATCCACAGCTCCTGCTAGGAAAAAAAAGGACAAAAAGTTTTGTTATGGAGCAGGAGCAAACCAAATAGCCAATTTTCTTTTGACAGTTCTGAAAGGTGAGGACACACTGTTGGACTGATTTTGCCATGCATTATGATTACAATGAAAAGGAGCTGTGCATTTATATTGGGAAGGTAAAAGTAGTTTTGTGATCTATCTTGGACTTTGTTCTAATTTTACCAAGCCTACATGATCACAGGTTTTGCTCATTGCCGTGAAAGTGGAGATCATTCCTTTGGCTTCACTAAAACTAGTTTATATGCATAGCCACGTCTGCGTTTCTTGGGTAAAACAAAAAGTTTTACCCAAACAGGCGCCGGTCTGCTTCACCCCGCTCTTCCCGCTCCCCATGGGGAAGAGAATGTTTAACGCAGCAGCTCCCAGTCCCTCCTGAGGCACTCCAGAGAAGTGCTGTGGATGAGAGCAGCAGAAAGGACCGAGGGTGCCGGTGCGGGGCTGTCCCGGGCCGACCCGGGCGGCTGCGGCCGAGGCTGAGGCCTCCTTCCCCCGCCGCCGCCCCGCTCGCGTCCCGCCT